GATGTGAGAATCAGCTGAGTGTATGGTGGGAGAACTTCTGTGCTGGAGACACCCTTCTGGGGCATGACTTGCTTCAGTGGGGATTTGGTGCTCACTGAGTCTGCCCCGTGACTGTGTCCTTTATGGTTCCATGGAGCTGCAAACTGGATGGTCCCACTCTGACCTGTGGGTGGCTCCTGGCTCCTGGATCTCTAAGGAGGTGCTAATCTAGCCTTTGCCTGAGGCTATCCAGCAAAAGTCTCCCTGCAGGGCTTGGGCAGGGCAGGTCCCACAGGATCACCAGAGCAGAGCGAGCAGTTATGGCTGCTCTCAGTCCTGCCCTCAGAGACTCTGCTTCTCAATGTCCCGGTAATGGCGCCAAGCCCCTCGGAGAGAAAACCCCCCTCGAGTTCCGATCGATGCCAGACAGTCCCGCTTTTCCCGTTTGAGTCCTGGTCCCTAGAGACTCACCCAGAACTGGAGCTCAGAATCTGAGACTCCCTCCCGATTGAAAGCGACAACCGTGCCCTCAGCCACCAGCCCACTCCGCCCGCACCTCTGCACCTTTGTATTTTCCGCACTGCGCCTCCTCTGAGTCTCGGTATGCTGTTCTCTTTCCTTCTAGTTGAAGAATTTCTCCTCAGGTAGCTTTCCTTTGGTTCTGGGTGATGTCCGTTCTGTCTTTTAGTTGTATTTTTGAAATGGTTGTGGGAAGCAGCATTCTCCGGTGTTTACCTATGCCGCCATCTTGGTTCCTCCTATTTTATTCCCTTGATATTTTAATTATGATGTGTCTTGGTGTGGTCTTCTTTGGATTCCTTTTGTTTGGGATTCTCTGTGCTTCCTGGACTTGTCCTCTAGTCTACTGTTGAATCTCTGTATATTATTCTTTATTTCAGTCAGTGTATGCTTAATTTCTGACTGGTCCTTTTCCATTTTCTTGGCATTCTCACTATGATCCTGAAAGTCTCACTAAGTTCCTCGGAGGTTTCTAGAAGATACTTGAGTAACCTTATAACTGTGGTTTTGAACTCTATATCCAGTATTTTGCTTTCATTCATTTATTTCATTTGCGACTTGTTTCTTTGTCTCCACATTTTGGCTGCTTCCCTCTGTTTGTTTCTATGTACTGGCTAGCTGCTAACTCTCCTTCAGTTGATAGAGTGGCCTTGTGTGGTAGGTGTCCTATAGGGCCCAGTGGCTCAGCCTCCCCGTTACCTGAGGTGGACACTCTTGGTGCACCTCTTTGTGGGCTGTTTGCACAGTCTTGTTTGAGTTAACCCTTGATTGCTGTTGGTATCACTGGGAGGAATTGACCTCCAGACCAATTGGCTGTGAGGACCAGCTGTATCTACAATGGAAGAGCTGTTGTGCAGGAAACACCTTATGGGGCAGGACTTGCTTCATTGGGGCTTTGGTGCTCACTGAGTCTGCCCCTTGAATGTATTGCTTATGGATGTGAAGAATTGTAATCTGGTATGGTCTCACACTGACCACTTGGGTACACTGCCTCTTGGAACTCCAAGGAGGTGCAAGGTTAGCCACTGCCTGGGGCCACCCAGCAGGATCTACAGAGACATCTGCAGATTCCTCCTCTTTGTACCGGGTTTGGAAGTGCCCTGATGAGGCCCAGCTGTGTAGCAAGGCAAGCTGCTGCTGCTGTTGCCTGTTTGACAGGTTTTAGGTTGAGAAAGGATAGGCCATTCATATGCAAAAGCCACTGCACACAGCTTGGGTAGGGATGTAAATTGGGGGGGCGGGGCTCGGGGAGTCTTCTGGGTGGAGCAAACAGCAATGGCTGCCAGTCAGCCCTGCACTGGAGAGGTCCCAGCGCAGGAAAAATGACAGCTGGAAGCACCACCATCTGAAAGAAAGCCGCCCTCCCATTCCTGTCACAATGGCAGGTAGTGCAGTTTCTCCCCGTATGTTTCTGGGTCCCCCAGAGTCTTATCCGGAACTGGAGTTCAGAGCAAGCGGGTGCTTGTATCTCCCACCCAATTAAAAAAGCAGTGCACCCGGGTTCCACGTCTCCACACCTCCTACCAGTCTCAGTGCACTTTCTTCTTTACCTCTCGTTGTAGAACTTCCACTCAGCCAGCTTTCCCATGGTTCTGGATGACAGTTGTTTTGTCTTTTAGTTGTAATTTTGATATGATTGTGAGAGACAAAAAGTACAGGTGTTTACCTATGCTGCATCTTGATTCCTTGGGAGTCATAAGCCAAAGTCTTGATTATTTTTTTCCTTTTCAGTTTTTCATACAAAGCTATGATAACCAATCAGGGATGTCAGAAGATAAGACCAAATTACAGAATAACAAGATTAAAAAAGCAGACAATAGAGGTGAGCCCATAAGGGATCCAGATAATTTGATTATCAGGCACAGATTTTAAGAAACTGTGTTTGAACTTTATGATTGGGCACAGCTGAAGAGAGCATTAATGAACTAGAAGTCATGTCACATTATTATCCAAAATGAATCATAAAGAGCAAAAAGGTAGAAAAAAACAGAAAGGAATGTGAAAGAATGACACTTGATGAAAAGGACATGTAATTGATGTCCCAGAAAGAAGAGGAAGGAAATGAGGCAGAAGTAAAACTGAGAATTTTCTAAAATGAAGAAGAAATCTCAAGTAGGATAAATACCTAAGAAACCATTAAATGACAAGTACAGAAATCAGACAAAAATTGGAGGCATTCCAAATGTCTGTCAACAGTGGTATTAGCCACACATTGGATTACTCCAAACAATGAAAAAGAATGAACTACTCTGTGCAATTATTAGAATAAACCTGAGGGACAAGATGTTGACTTATGGAAACTAGACACAAAAGAGTACATATTATATGATTTCAAATGTGAAGATTAAAATAAGACAAAACAAATTTGTGAAGTCAGTATAGAGATGGCTTATGGAAAATTAGGGAAGTTATTGAGTGGGAAAATACATAAGGAAAGCTCCTGGGGTATTGGAAATTTTCTGTATGTTTATCTGGGTGGTAGTCATCCAAGTATAGTCACTGAAAAAAAATTTATTGAGCTCTGAAAATTTATAGGATTTATAAACTTTATGTTTATATGTTATTCTTTTTTAAAATTTTTTGAAATTGATTTCAGAGAGGAAGGGAGTGGTAGAGAGATAGAAACATCAATGAGAGAATCATTGATTATCTGCCTGCTGCATGCCCCGCACTGGAGATCCAGCCTGCAACCTGGGCATGTGCCCTGACCGGGAATCAAATCATGACCTCCTGAATCAAAGGTGCAACCAGTGAGCCATGCTGGCCAGGCATACATGTTACTCTTCAACTACCAAAAAACAAACAAATAAATAAAAAACACCTAAACATTGAATGAACTTTACCAACAGCCCCCACACTGAAGAAATATGAAAAGGTTGTTTAGGCAGAAGAATTTAGATGCAGTAAGGAATGAAGAATACCTAAAAGGCAAATAGTGGACCTAGTACTTCCTGTACTTTTGGGAAAATCACATTACTTCTAGGTCTTACTTTTCCTTTCATGTAATGAGGGATTTGGATTAAATAATATATTAGGCCTCTTCTCTTAAAATGTTTTCTGGAGATAGGAGATGGAAGAATTTGAGAGTTTACGTTTAACCCGGACATACTAATACCAAAAGTAAAACAAAGTATTTGATGAATCAAGAAATTTGAAATTAGGAGGAATTAAATAATGCAGTATAAACAGAGGAAAGTTTGCTTTATTTATGTATGCACCAAAGCTAAAGTAAAAATAATTTCAGGACTGACTTACTGTCTTAAAGAGCAGTATAGTTGATGTCTCACTTTCTATAGTTATATACAAATATGCCCCTTTTAAGTATGGATAAGTCCACAAAATTAAAAAGCCCAATGTTTTTGTGTTAAAGATTCTTATTTCTCCCATTTAAAAAACATTTTTTAAATTGATTTCAGAGAGGCTGGGAGAGGTGGGAGTAAGATAGAAACATCAATGTGAGAGAAGATTATTGATTGGCTGCCTCCCTCATGCCCTCCACTGAGGATCCAGCCCCCAGCCTGGTTCAAAGCCATGCGGGTTGGGCTTTTTCTCCCATATTAATTGTGATAAATCATGTAATGGTTGGATATCCTTTCTTTTATTGTTGGATATCTTTATTTCTATTTATTAAATCTAGTTTGTTATCCAGATAATATTCAAGGAAGTTTGATTCTAGGATGCAACCTATGTTTATTTTTTATTTATTGATTTGAGAAGGAGAGAGAGAGAAACATTGATTTGTTGTTGCACTTATTTTGGCCAAAAAATTTGTTTTGTCCATTCATTGGTTGCTTCTTGTATGTGCCGTGACTGGAGATTGAACCTGCAACCTTGGTGTATTAGGATAACATTCTATCCAACTAGCTACCTGGCCAGGGCAACCTATGTTTATTTTATAGATGAATATGTAATTTCTGTTTTCTTTGGAGTGGTTGAGAATGATTTGGTTTTCTAAAGGAATGACTTAGAAGTAAAGAAATTTAGCAGTAAAGAAACTTCCTTTCTGAGTACTTGGCGATAAAAAAACTTTATTGGCATATACTTCATATTAACCAGATTTCAACATGTGGAATGAAATAATTCCTTTGTTACTTGTTCTATTTTGGTTTTGCCTGTGAAATAAAAGACATCTGGAAATAGGACAAAGAAAGTTAGAAGTAGCAGGTAGGGATTCAGAAATGAAAATAGAATTATTAATGTTGGTAGTATTATATGAGGCCTTTAGAGCTGTGATAGGTGGAGGGGGCAATAGGCCTTGTGCTTATCACACAAGCTATTTTATTTATTTTGTTTTACTTTTATTTTATTATTTTTTTTGTTAATCTTCACCCAGGGATATTTTTCCATTGATTTTTAGGAAGTGTGGAAGAGAGAGGGAAAACCAGAGAGAAACATCGATGTGAGAGACATCGATTGGTTGCCTCCTGCATAAGCCCCTATCAGGGCCCGGGGAGGAACCTGCACATACCATGATATGTGCTCTTGACTGGAATTGAATCCAGGACCCTTTGGTCCGCAGGCTGATGCTCTATCCACTGAGCCAAACTGGCTAGGGTCTAACAAGCCACTTTTGAATAGAGTCTCATTTCTCAAAGTTTCACATCCAATAAATGCAGGATCTCAGGCCCCTCCTAGGACCTAATGATTTAGAATTTATGTTTAAATCAAAGATTCCCAAATAATCTCATATATGTTAAAATTTGAGAAGCACTGTTACCTGTACATCACATTGTATGATTTTGAAGCAACAATAATACATTATTGGAGTCGGGCATATATAAAGGCTTTTTATGTTAATGCATATGAAATAATATTTTAGAAGGCTCAGAAGTAATTGTGGAAGGACTTGCTTTAAAATGTTATGTCTAGCCTGACTTGTGTAGCTCTATTGGTTGAGTGATGTCCTGAGCACCTAAAGGTTGCTGATTTTATTCTCAGTCAGGGTACATGCCCGGGTTTCAGGTTTGATCCCGGGCAGCTGATCCATGTTTTGCTCTCGTATTGATGTTTCTCTGTTCTCCCTTCTCTCTCTAAAAATTAATTTTAAAATGTTAAAAAATAAATGTTATGCCCAGCATGGCCAGAATGGCTCAGTTGGTTGAATGTCACCCTGTGCATCAAAAGGTTGCTGGTTCAATTCCCAGTCAGGGTACATACCTGGTTTGTGGGTTTGATTCCCAGTCAGAGCACATATGGAAGGCAACCAACCGATGTTTCTCTGTCACATTGATGTTTCTCTCTCTCCTTCTCCCTTCCTCTCTCGAATCAATGAAAAACATCCTCAGGTGAGAAAAATAAGTAAATATTGTTTTTTCTTATGAAACAGGTAACATAAACTCATTATAGGAAATTTGGGAAATGCAGAGAACTTGAGCTGTGGGCCAAAGGGTCCTAGGTTCGATTCCTATCAAGGGCATGTACCTTGGCTGCAAGCTCCTCCCCAGCCTGGGCCCTGTTGGGGAGCATGCAAGAAGCAACCAATCAATGTGTTTCTCTCACATTGATGTTTCTCTCTGTCTTTCCCTCTGTCTTCCACTTTCTCTAAAAATCAATAGAAAAACACCCTCAGGTGAGGATTAAAAAAAGGGGGGGTGGGCCTGATTGGTCTAGGTTTGATTCCTGGTCAGGGCACATGACTGGGTTGTGGGCTCCATCCCCATTGGGGGGCATGTTGGAGGCAGCAATCAATGATTCTCCCTCATCATTGATACTTCTATCTCTCTCTCCTTGCCTCTCTGAAATCAATAGAAGTATTTAAAAAATAAAAATAAACTATATTAAAATGTTACATCTCAATTACATGTATTTCTAAATATTTTGAAAGGAAATGTATTGATGTCTACATATTACTTGAAATATATAAAATATTTCTAAGGATGTATAGATAAAAAGATGTGTTGAAGCAAAAGTAGTAAAGTAGTAATAGTAAAGTAGTGTGGAGGGAGGACAAAGAGGGTAAAGGGGGTCAACTATGTGGTGACGAAAAGAGACTAGACTTTAGGTGATGAGCACCCAATGTAATATACATATGTATTTTAGAATTGTATACCTGAAATGTATATAATGTTATTAAACAATGTTACCCCAAAAAAATTAATTTTAAAAAATTATAAAATGCTGTGGAATCTATTTGGTGTGCATATAGGAGTTAACTGTACAATTCCTTCAACTTCTCTATATGCTTTCAATTTTTCATAGTAAAATGTTAACGGGGAAACTGTTATGAAAATGGAAATCATATACCACACTCTGTAGTTATCTTTGTATTTTCATATTTGCTTTATTTTATAATTAATTGGTATTTTGTTTCTAGGGAAGAAAAAATGGCTAATATTTTTTGCAAGTGCCTTGTGCCAAACATAAGGCTTTACTATTACACTTACTATTACACTTTCATGAATTAGATATGATTGTCAGTTTGTAGTTGAGAAAACCAAGACATAGTTTTATATACTTGCACAATTTAGTAAGCTCAGAGCATACCTTTTGAACCTGGGGAGTCTGACTTAAGAGTTGATGGCTACCAAATTGCACAATTCCAGGGCCAGTTTTCATCATTAGCATAATAGAGTATCATTCACTTAGAATACAAAGTGGGTAGTTCCCCTGGGATTGTGTAACAAGACTGCCTGGCCTTAACTACTTGCTTATATGGCTACCTCACTATTCTTAGACTTTTAAATATTTTTCTGATATGAATTTTGAATTGTTCCATGACTTTTTCTTGTTTTTTATTTTTAAGATTCTTGGATCTCCCAGTCAGCATCATTTCCGCGTAATCAAAAACAGCCAGGGATGGATTCTTTATCACCAGTGGGCTCACTTCCTAAACAGATTTGCCAGTCTTCAGCCAAACAGCAACTTACTAAACCAGCTAAAATCACTTGTGCACACTGCAAAAAACCTTTACAGAAGGGACAAACAGCTTATCAACGAAAAGGATCAGCTCACCTCTTTTGTTCTACTACCTGCCTTTCCTCCTTCTCTCATAAGCATACTCCAAAGAAACACAATGTAATGTGTAAAAAGTAAGCTGTACTTTTTCCATATGGTTGATGCTGACATTGTAAATGTGTGTTCTGAATATAATTGGAGAACTGCATAAATTCATGGGTAGAACTGTTGCAGAGGTGTCCTCAAGTTTATTGAGCTTGAGTTATCTAGTTTGTCAGAGTTCAGAGTTGTCAATGGGCTTATTTGAACTGCCCTTACTCTCAGCAG